CTGCCTGGTGTGGAGGGTGCTATATAAAGTTGTTGTTGTTGTTGTTCTAGCACTACAAATGGCAGACTTCTGTCATTAGGTCGTCACTGACATCACTTCCCAGTGATTGAGAAGTTGGCCATTTTTAAGCACATAAGATGGCCTGCATTTTGAAGTGAAGCAGCCCGATTTCTGCATATCTTTTGAATTTCTTGACAAGTAAATGTAGGGTTGCAAAATTCATTTACATTATAAACAAACCCACATTATAATAAAGCATGCTTTAATGGGATTTTACTGTAACTTGCAAGTAAAGTGGAGAAACACATGTCCACAGCATTCTTCAAGTTGTTAATTTTTGTGAAAATGTGATGCAGAGTCTTGTAGCGTATTGGTTAGAGCTCTCGCCTCACAAGTAAGAGGACCCGGGTTCAATTCCCGGGCAAGGCGAAACATTAGGCAGGTTTCCTTACTCCACATGCCTCTGTTTACCTAGCAGTAAGTAGTTAGTCGTATTGTTGATCACTTTCTGGAGGTAATAATCCATTCAAACTATTAATTAACAGTGAACCGGAAATCCAAATGGTGTTTTCTGTCATATCATCATAACGTGTAATTGAGATTGGATCTCTTGTCTGTAATATGAAAAATGGTTGGGATAGGATTTAGGAATGCCATAATGCCAAGGATTGGGATGTGTGGATTTGCCCACCACTGCTTATAGTGGAACACAGTTATGTTAAGGCAGTTTGGTGTCTAATCCCATAAACAAAGTTTTTATTGTATGTTGTGAGCAGCAAGTCTGACCATTTGTAACACTGCAATTTTGTTCTTTATCCATAAGGCAAATTAATAAGCTGTGATTTTGAAGTATTTTTTTCAAAGCTTTTAAACATAGTAATTGTTAGCCCTATACCGGTTTCTATCAGTTATTCCTCAAACACACTGTATAGACTGCTGCGTACAATAAATATCTGTAGTTTATAGTGACAGCATAAAACAGGTGATGATTTATGTATCATATTGTGGAGTCCTGTAGCTCAGTGATTAGAGCACTCGCTTTGCAAGCGAGAGACCTGAGTTCAATTCCAGGCAGGGCGAAACCTTGGGCAAGTTTCCTTACTCCACACGCCTAATAATAATCCCTCCAAAACCAAAAACAATAATAAATTGGTCATTTTCAATCTACGACTGTTTGTGGGACATTGCTGTGCGCAATTAGCTGCCGTGTTCACCCACAAATATACAGTCAATTTACTTTACAATATATTCTGTGAAGCGCTTTGGGACGTCCTCCCAACGTGAAAAGCGCTATATCAAATGCAAGGATTATTATTATTAATAATTTGGTCGCTCAATTCACAACTGTTTGTGGGATCCTGCTGTGCGCAATTAGCTGCTGCCCACAAAATATGCAGTCAATTCACTTTAAAGTATATTCTGTGATGAGCTTTGAGTAGCTCATGACGTGATAAGGCGCTACATCAAATGCAAGGATTTTTATTATTATTACGTTTTAAGACAAGGGATGTGTTAGTTTATGTCAGGGTAAATGGTTACTGGGGAACAACATTCCCTTTCCAGTGAGTGGAATATTGCTTTCCGATCTGGATCGCTGCTATTTTATGTTCCATGAGACAATGTAAGCAGAATCAAATTCTTTGTCCCGAGAAGGCTTCAAACCCGTTTCAGGATCATAGAAATTTGCAGTGCAGGAGGAGGCCATTCTTTCCATCGAGTCTGTATTGTCTCTCACAGACATTAATTCAATCCTACTCCATACTCTATATCCCTTCAAGCCCCTGTCTGGCAAATATGTGCTTTCCTGGGTTGATCTGATGAGAATTGTCAAAATCAGCACCATCCTGGATTAGGTCACTGAGAATTTAAATTTTCTGCAAAACTTTGATGGTATCTGCATCATCTCTCCACAGTGATCTTGGCAGTAGTGTGCAACAATGCTGCTTGTTAGCATTCACAAACCAATCACCAGTTCAAAGAAAGCATGCACTGGCTATTAATATGCAATCTGACACAGCTACAAGGACCCATAAATGCAGAGCATTATAAATTTGTCAAGCCAATCCATTACACACTCATCAGTCCAGAAAGTTTGACAAGACTGCAATTTGAAGAATGTTACAGAAATTCCACTAAAATCAGTGGTACTTAAGGCTGCACCATACCATAGTTAGATTAGCCCCCACCCATCCTCCCCAAAACACTGAATTTGTCACAGTAAAACCCACATCCAATTTTGATATTGGCTTTATAAGGTAATTGGATTTTCAAGTACTCAAGTAGAAAGGATTTGGGGAGAGAGTACAAGACAGCAAAGTGGTTGAAAGCAGAACAACCAATGGTGGGGTAGAGAGAGAAAGGAGCAGCAACCCCAAATTGCAGCAGTGGAGGATGTGGGCAGGAGAATGGGGGTAGAGGACACTTGCAAAGGTAAGGTGTCTTAAGAATAATAAAATGCTTGTTGAGGAGAATTGCTTTATCTCGATATCCTTTTGTACACTATAACAATATGCCCAGTTGATGAGATTTTTCATTATAATGTCATTTTTCATTTCATTATAATGTCAAAATGCACTAAAAGCTTACCTGCACATACTCCAGTTTAGATCCAATGATGCTCATTGTACAGCAACCAATGTTATTCAGTCTGTTAACTAATTGTACTGACACAAGTACATACTTTTCTACCATTTCTGTTATCACTATTCTGACCCTTATTTAACAATACCAAGTAATTTAGCATTGATTTTTCCATTTATTCAGTTAAACATTAATACCTTAAATAAGTGCAATTGATTAAGTGCCTGCTGTAATAAAAACTGACAGTCTATTTAATATATGTCCATGAGGCTGCAAGCACAGTTACCTTTTTTAAGAAATCTTTATGCAGCCTTAGCTCTTGAATAACATTAATTTTACTAAATATTCACATTCTTTAGATGCTGTGCACGTAGTGTGTGCATGCGAATGGAGATAAGGTAATTGCAATAGTAATGGATAATAGAATGAAACATACGATGGCAATGTTTTCACCAAGGGCAATGTGGAAAAAATAGAAATTGTAGAGTTCCTGTCCAGATTCCTATTTCAGATTGTTCTCTTATTCAGAGATTTCTGTTTTCATGGCTTCTGTATTAATGGGTCAGTGTTGGTGCTGTGTAGAAATTAGCAGATTTATTTGTGTTACATCATTAGAAAACCATCTTAATTCCCACTAAAAATGCTTAAACAAAACATTATTGCCACATTAGGGTCTATTCCCCACAAAAATTATGGCTTTGCTGCCATTTACAACAAATTTCTATAGTGTTATTCTCCCTCGCAATGGATTATTTTTCTAGGAGTTATATTAATTTATTTCCATTGGCTGTTTGTATTGTCTCCAATAGCATGGAGTGACTGTACATCATTGAATGATGATAGAGGTCACAAGATCTCAAAATTGTTTTGGATGAAGAGGGCTCTTCGCCTATCTTATCTCACTCCTCAGGATACCCACCTTATCCTCCTTCCTTTGCAGCACCAATCGGCTGTTTAAATAAGTCCAGCATCCTGTTCTCAACCACCCTTCCTGGGAACCTGTTCCAATTGTTAATTATGCTCTGGATAACTTGCAGAGATAATATATTAAACTCCAAGACAGTTGAGATGCTCCCAAATAATTCTATTTCTCCCTGGTATGTACATTAAAGCTTTTCAAACATAATCAGGAAAGCAGGTAGTGTTAAAACAGAAATAAACCAATTTCTGAAATCCTTTACTACCCTATTGAATACCACAACATTGATCTTGCACTCTGAAGTCTAATATTGACTGTTAATTCCAATTATTCTCTATGCCTTCTGAAAATGTAGACTACTCAAACCAAGCCAAATGCAAGATAAGAATGAAATGAAATACACCACCCTTTGAGTGAAGAAGTTCCTCCTCAACTCAGCACGAAAGGGCTGGCCTCTGATTTTAAGGTTGTGACTCCTGGTTTCAGTTTCTCCAACCAGGGGAAACAATCTCCCACTATCTACTCTATCATGCCCTTTGATGATCTTATAGGTTTCTATAAGATCCCCTCTAATTCTTCTATATTCCAGAGAATATAGGCCCAAATTGGTCAGCCTATCCTCGTAACTCATCCCCTTCATCCCTGATACTAACCTAGTAAATCTACGCTGCACCCCCTCCAAGGCAAGTACATCCTTCCTTAAATAAGGAGACCAAAACTGCACACAGTATTCCAGGTGTGGTCTCACCAGGGCCCTGTACAGTTGCAGCAAGACTTCCCTACTCTTATACTCTAATCCTTTCATAATGAATGCTAACATACAGTTCCCCATCTTTTCCTTTCCACCTTTGTTAAATAGTGGTGTGACATTTGCGATCTTCCAATCCATGGGGACTGTTCCAGAATCCAAGGAATTTTGGAAGATCAGACACAAGGCCTCCACTATCTCATAAGCTACCTCTTTTAAAACCCTGGGATGCAAGCCATCCGGACCAGGGGATTTGTCACTTTTTAGTGCTAACAGTTTCCCTAGCACCAATTCACTACTAATGAAAAATTCTCTAAGTTAAACTCTATTAAATAAAGTTCCAGAAATTAGAATTTTTTAAATAATTCAGCAATCTGAGGTTAGACAATTAATCAATATGAAAAATGCTTGTTTAATATTACACAATCATATGTATAAACTGAAGTGAGCTCTGGAACAGATTTACATCTATTCCCCATTAGTTTGTCAACTGGTCAACAAAATAATCTAATACATTGGAACAGATGTATTGAGAGCTTTTGTTTTTTCCCAAAAAGCCCCATGTAGTATTGCAGTATTTCTCCAGCACAGATTCTGGAACCAGATTATATGAAGCATGTTTGGAATTATGCTAAAGGAGAAACGATTAGTAAAAGGCAACAATTTCAGTTCACTGTCATTGCTTCCTGCTGATATTGACTCAATTTTTTTCTGTATCCTCACAACAACCTATAAAATGTTTAAACCACTGACCTTTTGGTGCTGAACATTTTGGCGATGTCTTTCTGCTCATCTAAGAGCCTAACTTCCTGAATGATAAAGGATGTTGCCCCCTTCAGTCAACCTGATGGGAAAAGCAGAAAGCAGAAATAAGTTGACAAGACTTAAATGTAACCCATCCTATTTTAATCGAATCAGAGAATGTGAAACAAAAGACATTCATCTTATTGCCCTCATTCGCCTGCCAAGTATAAAGTCACTGCACTTTGCAGTGAATCCTGTGAAGCATTTTGAGATGCCCTCTTGATGTGAAAGGCACTATATCAACTGCAAGGATAATTATTTGGCTTGCACTGGTATTATTCAATTATTTAATCCTAAAAAATTAAATTACTAAACAGTACATTAAATTTCTTCCTGATCCGTGTGGAAGTCCTGAGAAACTCCAAGATATAACTATATCTTGTTATGCATCTGTGGACACAACTCACCAGTGTTATATTACACTGATATTTTGGAGTTTCTCAGGATTTCCATTGGTTATTTTGTCTCAACATTTAGGATTGTGCAGAATTGTGGAAAATTGTTAAATTCAGTCTTTACCAGATCTTTCTAACAGAAAACCAGCATCCAAATTAACACTGCATTTGAAAACATTCTGCAATGCTATGCAATCTTAAAATTTCAAAGCAAAACAGATGGAATTTGGGGCCTCAGGATTTTTCACATTTAACCAAATGGCACAATCTTGCTCCCATTGCAAAGTCTTCATGACTGAGGGGTTTTAAATCATCATAAAAAAGAGCATCTGTCATCTTTTAGGATGATACTCTTTGCGTTGCTATTAATAATTCACTTATGTTTGGAAAGTCTTTTTTTTTGGCAAGGCAGAAAAACACAGAAATATCAGTCAAAAAGAGCTGGCATGCTACGAACATGATTTAGCTTTGAAAACAAGCGAAAAAGTTTCCACAACAGTTTTCTGAAAGAGTTGCCCATTTCATGACTGTATCCCATCTGGTGTTATTGTTAATATCATAAAAAAATTGTATAATAATTGCAGTGGGAGTCCCAGTCAAAGATTCCCAAAGATCTAGTGTGTACAGGTAGCCATGGTAACAGTCCATATTCCTACATCAATATTGCACATTTGAATAAGGTATCACTGGGCACCAGGTAGCAATGGAACTATATCCCATTAGACGAAAAGGGAGTCAAATACCTTAAGCAGAGAATGAGGGCAGACAATTTGAAAGAGCTTCTGCAAAGCCGCAAACAATTTCACTTGTCATAAAGTTCCTAGAACTGTATTTTAGAATTGACACTATGGAATGTAGTATCTATTATCCTGCTGGTTAAGGTCAATAAAGTGCTGGACCTCATCTGTGTCTGTTTCAAAGCAATTCAATGTGTACTTGTTGCAATCTGTGACAGTTCACATCAGGCACATGCAAGAGCTGTTGTGGGAAAGCATTTTTTTTACCAGACACTTTCCCTGCACTAGAAAGGCATCTATTCCAAGCCCACTAAATAGACTTTTCTATTACAATTCTTCAAAGAAGCCCTTTATTCTGTCACTATCCTCTGGGGACATCCTTTGCCTTTCCTGCCCTGAAAAAGAAGCTGTCAATTCTGGATTACTTTCTAAGTAATATAAGACTTCTAATAAGAAAGCACGGGGAACACTTAAATGGTTGTATTTTGGCTGCCTTTTTGCTAGTTATAGTTTCTGCTCTATCTGACATACTGTTGTAAAAAAATGTATTGTTATTGATGTTTTTGTAATGCCTGCGGTGCAAAGTTTTAAAACATCTCCATGCTAGAACAGATAGAAACGTGCACAGACTAGGCTCATACATCAAGAATAATCACTTCTGTGGTTGGGATGCGACTGTTAGCCTGAACTCCCTGTGGACTTGGCAGGCAAACATCTGTCAGGATTTATCACTATCTGATGACCTCTGCTGGAAAATGCACATCTGGAAATTAGACATTGGTGGGCCAGATCAGGCTCAGTTATGATTCCCCTCTCTCCTCCAGACTAGGTGAGTCTCTCAACGCTCATTGTAGTCTATAACACACCATTTTTAATACAAATAATCTTTGATATATTTTTACCAAAATCTTTAGGATCAGCAAGTGACAGACTGAACACAAAAAAATCCCAATAGTTGAGACACTTGTTGAATGGTCTGTGCCAGTGAAACACTACCCAGCAAAGATTCAGGACCAATCGAATCCAGAACTCTGTAGTCCATGTTCTCTCACACTGTGAACCTACGATCCTGATCCTCACTTGGTGCCACTAGCTCCCTATCCACTGTGGATCAAACTCAAGATCCTTGCCCTTGCATTCATTTCACTCCATGGGCTCACCCCACCCTCCCCTCTGCAGCCCTGCAGACACCGCCGCTCAGCAATCATAGGTCCTCTTCATGCCTCCTGCCCAATCTGCCTCACCATCACTGGGCAAGGTTTTAGCCATTGTGCCCCTATTCTCTTGAACTCCATCCCAGAGTCCTTTCAACTTTCTCTCTCCCCACCTCCACTAAAGGCCACTTCGAGTCCCATCTTTTCAACCATGCATTTGGTTACCTTTCTCATTCTTCATAACAACAACTTGCATTTATATAGTGCTCTTCACAGCGTTTTGCTAGCATCAAGCGATTTCTTCTGTCCATCCAGCATCCTAGTCTCAACCACCCCTCATGGTAACCCATTCCAGCTACTAAGTGCCCTTGTTGTAAAAAAATGTCCTGAATTGTCCATCATAACCCTAAATCTATGCCTGTTTGTCCTGCTACCTTCAGATATCTAAAGCATTGTTTGGCGATTATTTTCTCAATCTCCTTTCGCATCTTATGAACCTTGCATTTAACCCTTACATTTGATATAGCACCTTATCATGTCTTTGAGACGTCTCAAAGCACTTCACAGAATATTCTGTAAAGGGAAACGACTGTATATTTTGTTGGCAAAACGCAACAGCCAATTGCACACAGTAATGTCCCTCAAACAGTCGTGGATTGAGTGACCAATTTATTATATTTATTATTATAAATTATAATTTGCAGTGTTAAGAGATGAGTTACGACAAACATTATAGCCAAACTCTTTGAGGATTAAGAAAGGACTTTCACATTAAAGTTTCAATGACATCAGAAAAGGAGATGCAGTTTCTTCTCTTTAATAACAAAAAACAGTTGCTGCAAAGTTCTTGGCAAAACTTAAGGAATCACTTGGGAGTGGAGCCAGAATTGTTTTGGACTCACAGCATTCACACTGCAGCAGTGAACATTCAAATGCCGTTAAAACCAGCTGGAAAGGTAGTCCAAGCAATCTTCAGTTCACTCTCCTCCCCCTCCAGCAATAATAATACTTGCATTTAATATAACACCTTATCACATTGTTGAGACGTCGCAAAGCGTTTCACAGAATATATTATAAAGTGAACTGATTATATTTTGTGGGTGAAACGCAGCAGCCAATTGCGCACAACAGTGTCCCACAAACAGTCATGGAATGAGTGACCAAATTATTATTATTTTAAGAAGGGAGTTTTATCCCCGGAAAACGATCCGTCAATTGACTAACAATCGGATTCCTACTTACTGCTAGGTAAACAAAGGCGTGTGGAGTAAGGAAACTTGTCTAAGGTTTCGCCCCGCCCAGGAATCAAACCCGGGTCCTCCCCCTTGTGAGGCGAATGCTCTAACCAATACAATACAGGATATCAATACGCTGCAGGATAGCCGGAGCGATACTCCCTGGCTGCCCAGCTCCAATTTCTACTGTACTTTTCAGAGTGAATTCATGGCAATTTGCTAAGAAACATGCAGAAGCAACCCAGATTCAGTGATAAAACATCAAGCAGTTCTTGCTTTTCAGGGCAGCAATTGTACACAATACACAGAGGATTGCAAGATTCACCCTGTGCGACACTTAAATATGCACAGCTCTGGATGTCTGAATGCAGTTGTAATTCAACCACACAACTTCGCTCTCACTGTACACTGTGATGAAGGCAATTCTATGTCTAAAACTAATCACGTTGCTTTCTAGGATACAATAGCTATAACATCATCACTTTTTTTTTTACACACACACGGGATCACTGTTTTTCATCCCCACATGCTCCCTTCCTCACTCCTCACTTCCTTTAACCTTCTCCTCCCTTCCATCTCATGCCTCCTCTCTCTCTCAACCTTGTCCTCACTCTGCCTCCCTCCCTCTTGCCAAATCATGCTCAATCTGCCTCCCTCCACCACATGTTCATTCGCCCACATCCCATCCTGGCTTTCTTTAATTGCCTCTCACTGCGCACCCTTTGCCAGTACTGCTGAATAAGCTTTTAGCATCGCAATGTTACCTCGAGCATAACAAATAGGTAGATGTTGAATACATACGATATTATACATGCTGACAGTGTTTCTCTCTTGTCACTTCCTATCAAAGATCAACCAGGACCACCTAGAGAAACAGCACAACTAGCAAACCTGAATCACACTCAGAAGAGTCAGCACCCATTACTGTCATTTGTTTCACCACAAGTGCTTTATATAAGATTCTGCTCTGGGGCTAAACATACCATAGGACCATGAGGGATGCAAGGATGCAGATGTCAGAAGAATGTTAATTAAAGTGACACACAACCAGTTGGACCCTGACATTCGCTGGAGTCTCTTCTACAGTCGACCGCTCCAGGCCTTCCTCACCCATTTGAATTCTATGTGTTGTGCTGGATGCAATCGTGAAGCCTCTGCCCTGAACTGTCCAAACACCTGATACATTGAACAATAAACCTGTGGCGTGCTTGGTGATGTTCCTCATTGAGAGCATTGCATCTTTGTGTCTTTAAAATGTGTTTAAGCGAGAGCAAGGTTTTGGCAAACTTGGGTCCGGGAAAAGACCCAACTGCAACTCCAGAAAATGTTTATCATGTATTTCAATAAGCAAATAATACAACTGATCAATAAATAAATGTTTGGTTACAAGTAGGCTCTGCACTTGACAGTAACTGATTGCAAATGCTGTAGCAAAGATCCAAATTTTTTTTTTACTTTCAACATGGAGTTTAGAGAGATTTTTAATTTTCTGGTGTAAGGCATGTAAATATTTGTTGGA